TTTATTTTTAAAATGCTGAAAGCTGTGTTTCTTCCCCCCCCCCCCCCCATGTTTTGATAAAAATACATGCAGTAACGTCCTTCAAGACAAGTCCTTCCTCAGATGTTACTAATGAATCTGTCCAAATCCTTGGAATGTTTCTTTTAGTACAGGTGCTTCTCCTAGTAAGGAGAATATACACTTCCATTTATGGGCATACACACAAAGAATCCTAGGAAAACTAGAGAACTGGAGGATGGGAGGTGGGGAGGAGACTGACTTACAGCTGTTCTTACAAAAAGGAAAGATTTGTCCAGAAAAGAAATGCTGTTAGATCCTCATCTAGTTTCATCTGCTACAATATCAATATTATATTTGGCTAAATCACACGACCTATGGTCATTTTTTCTAGATGCCTACTCAGCTCCATCAGATAGCATTCTAATCTTTCCATGACAAACCAATTAGCTCTTTTGAGCTACAGCTATACACAGTTAAGCACTGAAATAATGTTTCTGCTGCCAATAGTGTACCACTATGTCTTTATTAACAAGTGCTACATTGTGTTTTTATTGAAAATAAGCACACTGACCTTGAGAAAACTGCAGTTCATTAGAATACTGCCTTTTAAAAAACAAAAAATTAAACCATGAATAGATGCCCAAACATCCTGCCAAATTGGCAGCCACACAGGCTGTGGCTGACACCTACTGGTGTTCTATAATATCATTCTCTGCTTTATAATACCACATTTTTAGCAATGTAGCTCAATAATATATAGGAAACACTAATACTTTAATTTTTATACCATACTTCTATAATTTAGGTACAGTGAGTAAGAGACTGGACAACTATAAATTAACATCAAAAATTTTTTGTTACTCTGTGGGTTACTAAACTGTAATGTTGGATTATGGATGTCACACAAGCTAGTTTATCCTAATCCATAGGATTTACAAGCTATTAAGTTTTTAAATTTAAAATCCTGATAAAAGCAATAGTCTCCAAGTGCTTCCTCAAATCTGTTATTACTATTACTTCCTTCTATTTTTTTCACAGTTTTGACACAGTAAAGTTTTTTTGTTTTGTTTTGTTTTTATCCTTAGTCTGGCCAGTATGGTACTGGTCCTTGATATTATGAGCTCTAGTCTAACCAACTGAGCAACCAGCCAGCCCTTTGACACAGTAAAGTTTTAACAGATAAAATCCTTCAGCATAAATATCTCCTACAAAATTACTTAGAAATTGTTGTTTGTTTGTTTTTATCATTATACAATGTAATCAGTTTTTATGGTCCTGCCCACCCCCCTGCACCCTTTACACCTCCGGTAACCTCAGTTCTGTTCTCTTCTCTTAAAAAGTTCAACGAATGATTGTGATTGTTGTATCTTTTTTTTGTAGTTTATTTTTACTAGCTCCCACACATAAGTGAGAACATGCAGTATTTCTCTTTCTATGCCTGGCTTATTTCACCTAACATAATTTTCTCTAAGTTCATCCATGTTGCTGTGAATGGCAGTATTTCATTCTTTTTTATAACAGAGTAGTATTCCATTGTGTAGATATACCACATTTTCCTTTTCCACTTGTCCAATGATGGGCATTTTGGCTGGTTCCAACTCTTGGCTATTGTAAACAGAGCTGCAATAAACATGGGAGTACAGGTGTCCCTTCAACAGGAAATTGGTTTTTTTAGATTAAGCCAAAGATTCTCTTCACTAAACTTCACTTACATTACCATTGAGCTAAATAATTTTTCTTTATAAATAAAAGAAGTTTACTTGCAAAAGTAAACTTCAGAAAGCACAGTTAGTATAAAATATACTTCAAATTTTGAATCAATGATGCTTTACCATACACTTTTAAACACCCGTACTTTTAAACATAATAATGTTTCAAATTTTTTTATCCAGAAACAAATACTCCAAATATTTTGCAAACAACATGTTCAATGATGTTCTCTGGTAGGCACTGTGTATCACCTGCTTCCTTTTCTTCTCCTTCTGGGCACCTAGTAGGACTGTACTACTCTCTTCAAGCTGGCCATGGCTAAGTGACTTGCTTTGGTCAGTGAAATGAAGTCAAAGTGGAAGCCTTGAAGAGGCGGACAGCAAAAGACCGCATCCCTTCCACAGTGACCTCCAGATGGTAAAAGCTTTGTCAGTCTTCATCCCTGAGTAAGGACACCACAAACCAGAGTCCTCAAGCAATCTGAGAGAGTAGTACAGTTTGAACAAGAAATATCTGTGCTTTTATAAGCCACAAGAACTCAGGGTTCAGCAAAACTTACCCCATCCTGGCCTCTAACACCACATTTCAAAGACACAAATTAAATGAATTTTGGTTTTTGTAACAGTTATAAAAAGTAGAATGAAGTAGAATGAGTTTGGACCCCAATCTCACATCATATACAAAAATTAACTCAAAATGCATCAACAATTTAAGAGTTAAAACCATAACTCAGAGAGAAAAACATAGGAGTATATCTCCATGACCTTGGATTTGGCAATGGATTCATAAATATTACACCAAGAGAATAGGAAGAACCAACTGAATTTCACCAAAATTAAAAACTTTCATGCATTAAAGGACATTACAAGAAAATAAAAAAGACGACCTACAGAATGGAAGAAAATATTAGCAAATCATATATCTGATAAGGTCTAGCATCCAGAATATAAAAAGAACTCTTACAATTCAACAATAAAAAGACAAACAACTGAATTCTAAAAATGGTTAAAGTAGCTGAATAGACAGTTCTTCAAACAAGAAATACAAATGGCCAAGAAGCACATGAAAAGTTGTTCGTCTGCATCAGGAAATGTAAATCAAAACCACAATGACATACCACTTCAGATCCACTAGAACAACAAT